TTTTTTTTATTCCATGTGTTGTAGTGTGCATGCATTACTGTTGCAAAAGAAAAAATGGTTTGTCTTCAATGTCGTCAAGATAGAATTATTTGCTTCTCTAAAGCAACATATTTTTAGCTGACGTCACCAATGCTGCTTTTTTTTCTTTGTTTCGACTACCTATCATTTGTATGAAACCCCTACATGGCTATGGGAGATTAAATGTCAATGCTTCTGTGTTCTCTCCCAAAGTTTCTGCATTGAAAAACTTTTCTTTTGTTTGTTTGTTTGCAAAACAGTTATTACCTCAGGGGAATGCAAGACATTTGGGAGAGAATGCAAAAGCAATGAAATATAATTCAATACAATCCTCCCATCTTATACTTTTTACGTCAACATGTCTCTTTGGGGCTCTGTAAATTTGAGACTCCTTTTCATGATTCAATCAATTCCCAATGGATAAAAACGCCTACCACTCAAATGTTAAGCATATTGATTTTAAATGCAGCTTCCAAAAAAATTATCTTTTAAGATTGCTGCACGATTGTAATTTACATGTGTGTGAATCACACATTTGCATGTTTAAATTTGCTCAGTCCAATACCATTACACAGTCCCATAGACTAATATGGAGAACTACCAAATTATTCAAGTATTTTTTTCCTCTGGTCACGTCTTATCTTGCCTAGGGCACCAGGAGAGCCAGTGCTGCCCCCTCAAAAAAATAGGTGCATGATGCCTCAGGATAAAATTAAGTCCAGTCTTGCATTGAATATCCTATTTCCCTCTGTAATGCACATTACAGAAATAAAATAATATTCAACAGCATTTCATATTTACTTGAAGGGGTAGTTCACCCAAAAATGAAAACTGTAATTTAGGTACTTATCATTCCAAACCTGCTGTGTGACTGTCTTTGTGCAACCCAAAAGTTATTTTGCAGAAAGAAGAAAAAGTCACAGGATAGTCTGGAACGACATGAAGGTCAGTAAATTGACGATAGGATTTTCATTTTTGCCTGAACTATTCCCAGTAAATGTAAGAAACTGATCCAATTGCTTGATCTATCGATCTCTCAGGTATTTTGCCTAAAACGATCCATTTTTGTTGTGAATGGAGCGTTCATGTTTTATCTGAAGTTCCAGCGTGATTTGGACAACATGTGGCTGTTCTAAAATGTTGGCTCTAACCAGGTCACTAACTGTGCTTTAGAGCAGGTTTACTTTGCCTGTCAATGACGCCTCCACAACATTGATTTGCACTCAAGGCCTGCGCAGAAGACACACACTGTATCGATTAGCTGTCTGTATTCCATTCCTCAGAAATCAATGCTGTTTGTGGCTTTGCCAGTCTACAATGATATATTTTTGTGAAGCGATTGGGATTAAAGACCGCATTCTAATATTGTTTGAGGTTAAGGTTATCGCGGTTTAATGAGGTGGGCGGAGTCTGCGTTATCGGTATCGGCTTTCGATAACGTGCCATCGCGTTCGTCACTGATAAATAGTTTTGCCGTTGCGCGGCTGTTGTTTATACCAGCAGAAGCTCAATGACTCATGATGACACATTGTGAGTAAGCGCACTTCTGCCCAAAAACAACAAACAACGTGGCTGTTCTCATTTAGACCCAACTGAAGCAATCGTTCCACTGCTTGGTGATGGAATGACCTGTTAGACGAAATCTGTTCAACATTTAGTCCAACTGTGCATTCATATCTTTTTCATCCGCTATAAATGGATTTGTTTTCTGTGGAACTGCATACATTCCCCTCGAAGTTCAAGGTAGCTTCATCCGGAGGCGTAAAGTTTGCGTGGAGAAATATATATGTATTATAATACAGTGTTTGCCAGTTGGTGGTTCCAGGCAGTTGCGTGAAGCTCCTTTAGGGGGCAGTACAGCTTCACATTGATTCCCCTGTTTGATAGTGAAGCATTGTGGACCTCAGCCCAGATGTGATCAACTGGAAAAAGAAGTGCACCTACTCTGAGCTACAAGGACGACACAAACCTGGCAGAGACCCCCTGCACTCCCTCCTGCCCTGCCTTATGCCCACCTGCATGCCCATCTGCAGAAGAGCCCCGCCAGTTGTTCTGTTTGTGTGCCAGGGTGAATCAAGCCCATCGGCTCCACTCCCAGGTGTGTATCTGGCTGTGTCCCCCCCCCCCTGAGAGCATACTACTAGCCTTCCTGGGAGGAACCAGTGATCAAATGTCCAAAAGTTCACTTGCTTTACTATGGTTTATGAAAAGGAATGGAACCAGATTGTGTGCTGGCTGGTCCAAATACAGTTTTGGCTTCAGAGCTTTGAAAAATGAATAATTTCCTAACTTCTATGCCATCAGAGAAGCAAAGGCAAGGTTTTATGTTCTTCAATATATTATGTATTTATGTCATATATGTATATGCAATATACAATTGCAATGACTGATATGTCAGGTATACTTGTTTCCCCCCCCCAAAACAAAATGCCTTTCATATCACATGCCTAAATGTCTAAAATGACCATTAAGTCGACATGAAATCAAAATTTACCTGATTTACTTTAACACTTTCCTGCTCTTATTGTGCACAGTGCAATGTTAACTAATATCCGAAAAGATACTGATGCACTGATTTAGGTACGGTTTCATTATTTAGTTTAATATGTTTAGTTTTTCTAAGGAATATATCAGCTACGTTAAAAAATGTTGCAATATCAATTTAATGTCGAATTTAAGGTCTTTTGTGTTTTGGTCTATAGGTTTGTGCCGTGCTAAGTTATGGAAGGGCCGATTTGTGAGGACCCTGCTGAAAACCAGGTTGGTGGTTTAGTTAATCTTGCATCAAGACCAGCTAGCCCCAAGGTGGCCAAAAACCCTCTAAAACCTTTAAAGCAGTCTAACTAACT